TAGACTAAATATGAAAATAACATAATCTATATAACAATAAGAATTTATTAAATAACATAGCAATTTAATAGATTAAATTATGTGATGTTTTAATGTAATTATAACAATAAATTTTTTTGATATAATAATAACAATAATTTTAACATAATTATACTAAATAAGTTAACAATTTTTACATAATTATATTCATTTAAGATAGTAATATTAATATAATTTTAATGTGATCATATTCACACAATTAGGATATAGAGAGAGAAGCTAGTTTGGGATGGGAGAAAGAGAGATACGTTGGTAGGATAGAGAGAGACACCTAGAGGGGACAGAGAAAGATGCTAATAAAGTTGGGAGGGGGGAGAGAGATGCTAATGAAGTTGGGAGGGGAGAAAGAGAGAGAGAGAACACTAATAAAGTTGGGAGAGAGAGAGAAAGAGAGAAAATAATTAAAGGTTGGGAAGGGAGAGAGAGAGAAGTGTGATTATTGGGGCAACGTGAAGAACTGGTGGTGAGGTTTGGTGGGACTCATTTATCCCACATAAAGGAAACAATGGAGGGACATCTTGAATAAAAGCCTCAAGCTACATCATTTAATGTATCAAATTTGGCACATGTTCTTGGTTGACGTGTGCTTACTTGACCACTAGTAGCTACTCTCCAATTTTAAAAGCAATGGAGATTTTTATAATTTAAATATCTTAGAAATATAACGTCAAAATCGGCACGGTCAGTGACATGTCCGGTTTGTGACATCATGCAAACGATTCGTGACGTCAGCAGGGCGATTCCTTCCAGAGAATCGGCCGGATGTTGTTTTTTAAGCAGATATGGGGCGACTTCACCGATACCTGATTTGGATTGGGCAAATTCGGATTAGATCGTCGTGGTTTTGAACCTTGCATAGGACTAATGGTAGTCAACATCTAAACCATGGTAGTCCTTAAAGGTCATTTGGAGAAACAAAGAGGATGGGCATTGTATCCTTGATGTAATTTTTTTCTCTTTCTTGATTGTTGATCATGTTCATGTAATAACAATCAATATATAGTGGAATAATCATGTGGGAATACTGAACCCTATCACTCATATTGTGCAGGTTTCTATTGGGATGAAACCCTACGCATTGGTGTTACCATAGTTCAAAGGGATAACATTCTGGTTGAAGTTCATGTAGTGTGATGGTTCAATAGGATGACATGGTCTTTGGAAATATTACATTGGCATGTTCTTGAAACCATGGCACATGGAAGGATGGGGAGTGGGTGCTACTTTTACTGCTAGTGTAGGTCATGGAGTCTGGAACTCAACCTAACTGTGGTAGTTAGTTCAAGGATAAGCCCGTCCGAGATATTTGCAATAAGCTTCATATAGGAACCTTGTTGATGGAGCCAGTGGTTCAATGAGATACGTCATTTAGTCCAAGTGGGGAATTGTTGGAATTCCAGTGGAATTGAGGGCCCTGCATGTTTGGACATGCCCTATCAATGAGCAAGCCCAATGGCTCTGTAAAACAGACATCCAACCAATGTTTAGAGCATAGTTTCAAAAAGCGGCCCGCCCAACGCCTAGGCGGGCCAGGGCGCCCCAGGTGCATCTGTGTCCTTCGGCGGGCTCCTAGGGACTGTGGCCATCAAGGGCAAAAAATGGCTCTCATGGAGAGAGGGGCATTTTTATAAGGGGGAAAGGGGGATTTAGGTTTTTATGTGACCTGAACCCATTTTTTTACATTTTAGAGTCAAAAAAAACGAAGAAAAATGTGCATTTTTGTGTATGGACTATGGATTACGGACTATGGATGGGGCTGGTAGTCATCGTAATAGTAGGGGCAATGGACTATATGGATGGAGTCATGTGCATGGACTATGGAGCGGGATGGTAATCATGGTAATGTATGAACTATGGATGGAGTTATGGACCATGGGGACTATTTGTTATGTCTAGTACTAATTTGAATTTTGGATTATATTTTCCTATTTATCTTAATGTGTCATTAAATAATTGTCCAAATCTCAAATGCTTTGGTTTGTCTTTGGAGTTTGGGTTAATTGAACATAAAAAATGTTCTAAAAATGCCTCAATATGCATTTTTTACACACAATTTGGCACTAGAAATGTTTTTTGGACACCTCCCACCTTTGGTCTTCCACCTGGGCTGCCCGGAAACCGGGGAGGCCATCCAGGCGCTGGGTGGCCATATAGGCGCTGGGCGGCATGGACCTCGCCGGATGCCTAGGTGCCGCCCGGCATTTTTTTGGAACATTGGTTTGGAAGCTAGATGTGAATGTCTTTAATGACTTGACTAGTCTAGGGAAGGACCTATGAGTCCTCATGTCCTAGAAAATGTAAAGCTAGTCAGGATAGCCAAGGGATAGTGATCATCAGTGTTAGTCATAGCAGAGAGCAGCCTCGGATAGCCCCCAAGATTTGTTGGCTCAAAAACAAGATATGCTTGCTGTTGGTGAAAATCTGACTGACCAAGATTTGAAATTCATAAAATGCACATCCATTTTGCCTGGGTCAGTGATTGACTCAAGGAAGCCAGAAGGCCTTACTTAAGAACTAACAAGGGAGACACACTCAGTTCCTCCATTGGTCAACAAACGAAAAGGCTCGCTAAAGTTGACCGCAGAAGATCTCAAGCGTCTCCGCTCTTCACTGGAGAAAGCAAAAGCTGCAACTTTTGATTGCAGGGTTGCTCGACCCTAGCAGGCCCTATAATCATGATTAAGCAAGTTATGAAAGATAGGTCAGAGGCAGATCCTGGAAAGCCACATTACCATGATTGAATGAGTACAAAAAGACAAGTTCCAAAACAGAGCAGCTATAGAGGGCACCTTCTGATTGGGCAGGTAAGAATTGATCTCTAGCTTGAGTCAATGAATGGTTCTGAAAGACAGGCCGTGCGTCTTTGTGCATGGTACTGTAATGGCGAACTTATTCTTTAGGTTTTTTTAGACTCAGATCAAGGGGGGTGCTATCTTGGGGTCTGCTCCAGGAAACCTCCGTTCACCATACTTGGTATTCTCTGAGTAGCAAGGGAGTATTGACCTTAAGTCTTGATAGGCCAAGTCTTGAACCTCCCTCTGTGTGGATCTGAGTCGCTAGGATCTATCTGGATTAGCGATTGGCATTCTTGCCACTCTTCTCTCTCTCTCTAGAATTGGGTGGTGTTCTATGTATTGCAAGAAATTACAGGGATAAAAAAGCAATGACATTTAGGGTATCACTTCGGGAATCTGTGACTGTTAGATTTTTTTATTTATTTTTAATGATTTTTAGCGTAATGGGATTTCTTCAAGTGCACCCTATTTTTGTCGAAGTTTCACTTAAATTTTGTCCTTTGTAAATTGTAGTCCTTAGATTGTTGGATTGTGTATTTCAGTTCCATATTGTTGTTGAAAGTTGACATGAAAATGGTAAATTGCAGTGTCAGTTGTGAGAGGTGAATGCTTTAATGTTTGTTACTCCTTCCTAAGCTGTAAGAGACAAGAATTATTCGAGTCTTCTTGATCACGTCCCACTGGACAACGTCCAACCTTTTATAGAAGTAATGAAATTAAGTTTCCGATCAGGAAAAAAAACGAAAAAGAAAAAGAAAAGAGAGCTATTTTATCCAGATTTAGCCTCTTCCATGAGGAAAACTGTTGCCCACTAATGAATCAATTTACTTGTTCACATTGTAGGCAGCTTTCATGGTCCCTACAGAATTACTTGCTCTCCAGCATTACGAGCATATTCTTTCTTTGCTACAAAATATTGATGAACAAAGCAGACCATCTGTTGCTCTTCTTACACGTTCTGTCCCTTCGAAACAATCTCGGATAATTCGCAAGGTGACTAATTTTCTCTGAAGACCTTTCTCTTATTCTTGGCAGATAATAGAAATATCATGACATCATCTATATAGAATGCTTCTTTTCACCCAGGGTCTTCAAACTGGAGATATAGCATTAGTCATTGGCACTCACAGCCTTATAAGTGAAAGTGTTGAATTTTTGGCTCTAAGACTTGCTGTGATAGATGAGCAGCATCGGTTTGGTGTAATCCAGCGTGGAAAGTTTAATAGTAAGGTATTCTGTTTCTTGTACAATTTCAATGTTATCAGTTAGCTTGTTGTCACATGTTTTCTGTGGGAACTCCTTTGTTAATTTATGAATTACATTCCTTTACCATGCTCTGTGCAAGATTCTTAGTGCATCTTCCTTATTATAATGAGATGCTTACAAAAAAAAAAAAAAAAACAATTTGTGAAGTGCACTTGTCATTGCGTATCCTTAAAATAATTGATTTTTGTTTACTTGTATTGGTTAAATTTTCGAAGAATAAATGAACACAAGCAATAGAGAATATGCATAGACAAACTCTGTAACCTTTTTGTAAGCATTTGATTTCTCTGTTTTTCTTGTCAAAATGATGCCATATCGACAAAGAAATCATAATAAAAATATTGTATGAATTTTAATAAAAAAGAAAAATATTATAAGAGGTTTTAATAATTTTGCGTAATCTGGTTTACTGCAGTCATATGAATTTCAATGTTATTTGGGCATTTCACAAATTGTTGAAAGCTTTGATAATTTTTTTTCTTATTGTTGGTTAAATTATCCTTGTAGATAATATTCCCAAAATTTAACTAGCAACAAATCGGTGAAATCGGTATCACCGACTTGTTATCTTTTCAGGATACTGTAAAATAGATCTCCAGCTGACCGTATATAAAAATTGGGGGTGTTGTAGAACATTCGGAAAGATGACTCAGAACATTCGGAAAGATGACTCAGACTAGAGTTTTAAGGATGAGTAGTACTCCGAATAGAAAATGGGGCATGTTTTGGATGCCTCAAAAGGAGGTGTAGGTTATTTTTCTAACTCTGGAGAAAATTGATACTATTTTGGGTTTGGAGATGTTTGAATAATAGGCTATTCACAAGAATCTTAATGAAAATAACAAAGTAAATATTATTATAAAGGCTAGGTAGATTATGTTTGTCTATTAATCTTTGTCATCTTGTGTTTATTGTCAAGCATTCCTGGGCCATGATGCCAATATTCTTTGCTTCTTGCCACGTACAAGTCGACAGTATAAATTTCTGCTTATTTTTATTTGGTGCTACTTTTTGAATTTTAATTTTGTGTATGGGACATTTCACCCAGTATCTCTTTTGGACCCATGTGTTGGACACCTCCGATGCATGTTGTACATAAACACTTGTTTATGCATATACATGTAACATAGAAGGAAAATGCTCATATCACACTGGTAGTGGTACACTTGGTTGTGTAAATCTTAAATGTGGAAAAAAAGAAGAATAAATTAGTAAACATGACAACGCTTCTGCTTATATAGATTCAAGTTCCACTGGTCAATAGCATTTCGTCGGAATACATTCTGTCTTTGAACCTTTGTAGTCCTATGCATAGTAAGTACTATAGCCCCAATCATGGCTATTAATAAAGTAGGACTAGGAACCAAAAACCAGACGGAATAGTAGGTATAAAGTAAATTGCCCAAAGTTTCCGAATTAGTCAAACTACTTACCTCTCCGGCGATTAAGAATGCAAATCTGTTGGTGCCAACTCTGTTCTAATTTTTTTTTTGCAAGTGTACTCTCTTCTAAAATTTTTACAAAATAAAAATGTGGCATGTGACCTTAACCCCACAAAATAGCTCATGGCACCATGTTTGGATGCTGCAAACATTGTAATGAAGAATTCTAATAAAGTAGTAAACCATATTCTCTGTTAAGACGCTGGAATACCTGCCTATGGCGACAAATACTGCAAATGTATTCTGTTTGCTGCTAATCAGGGATGTCCGAGTGCAATATTTGCAGCAAGTATTGCTAGTCTCTATTGAGGAATCGTTACATCTCAATTGATCCTTGCTTAAACTGAATATCGTGATTGTTGGAAATGGTACTTGCCATTTGACTTGCAAGCTTTGACTAATTCATTATTAAGTACAACTAATTTGAATTCTCTATGTTTCAGTTATATTACTCTTCTGAAGGCCTAAAAACAAGTGTTGTTATAAAAGGCCATGGAGAGTCATCTGAAGATGAAGTTTACATGGCACCCCATGTTCTTGCCATGTCAGCCACTCCTATTCCGAGGACACTTGCCTTAGTTCTATATGGAGATATGTCCCTAAGTCAAGTATGTTAAATTCCGTTGTTCTATAACTTCTTACTCCACATATATATTCTGATTACACTAGTATATGCTTTCTATGTAACAGATGGCATGGCTTTTGCGCATGCTACAAATTTGGGATTTCTTTAGTTTTTTGGTCCTGTTTTAGTTCTAAAACGTTTTGTTGGTTTCTTCTGTCAAATTGTTCAGGCTCTAGCTCTTTAATACAGTTTCAAATTATTTAGACTCTAGCTCATAAATGCTTTCTTACTTGATTCACATGGCAAAACATTCTTAAATATCTGAGTTTGGGATCGTAGTAATGTCATCCCTTTTCATTAGCATTATATCTCAAGAACATGTATATAGCAAACATAGTAGAAAATTTGGATTGTTTGTGAGAAGACAACAAAAAAATAAAAATATAACCAAATATTATACTGGAATGATACCAAGTGATGCAAATGATGAAGTTCTATTTAGATGAACAATGGCACCATAAACACAATTGTGAAAGGAAAAGAAGGCAGAGAAGTAAGAGCCCCTATTGGTTTTTGTGATGATCGAGTCTGAGTTTAGGTTCTGGAATGCCATTAGCTAATATCACACAGGCTTATTCAATTTCCATAGTTTAAGCACAGACATCTCGCATCACATCTATACTTCTCTCCCTACTACATAAAGGGTTGGGCTTCATAGAGGTTAGGCTTTACGCTTGATGCATGGGTTTGGGGCTGAATTGATTGCTTCAAGGCATAAGTTGTGAGTGTAATATGCAATGTTCATTGAAACTCAATGTTGTCCCTCATGATCCAAATGTTATCTTTCCTTTTCTCCAATATCCTTGACCTGCATTTTAACCATGTATGTTCCTATGGTTAACAAATATCACTTCCCTGTATTCAAACTCAATCATTAGATCATGTTTGTAACCATGCTGCTTGTCCAAGAGCGTATCCTGCTCCCAAAGTTGAAAGCAAATTGCACTAAAACAACAATGCTTTAGGCCTCTCCTATTGCATCAAGGAAATGCCCTTTTCTTAGGACATTTTTCTATCAATTTGTTTTTTTGGAATTTTAGAATTCATCTAAAACTGTATTTAAAATACAAAAAAGGGCTGATCCCATATCTCGTTCTATTAAAATTTTGGTCTTATTCACTCTCATGTTCTTTTTCATCTGAATCAGATTGTTATATAAAAATTCAATCTATATATTACTTTCTTTTTTGGGGTTAAGTGAGCCCAAGTTTCATTGGGACTGATACTGCTGTATTGCTTTGAAGGTACAACGGGTTTGTGACTGAAATGCATATTATGTCAGTTACTTGTCAAAATATGTACAATGTAAGAATCAAAATCTTATAATTCTATTCTCATTACAATAATTGGTACATGAGAATTCCTGAAGCAGCCTATTACTGATAATACGATCCCGGTCTTCTCAATATGTTGTATGTGATGCTTTTATCAAATAATCCTTCTTGTCACTAACATGTACAAAAATGTAGTGTACCTCAGCATATAGATCTAGAAGTATCGCTCTTCATCTTTTGTTAGGAGTATGTTTAAGCTTGGAGGTAATTTTTGTTTTGTTTGCAGGGAGGACTTGTTTCCTTCATTTAGTGATACGCTTTTATTGAAATGGTTATTCCTTTTATTCAATCAATCTCAGCAAAAATTAGCATGATTCAGAGTTTTGAATTTTGTTGTTTTTAACATGGGAATGGAACCTTGATAATTGTTTCATGTTGTAAAACCTGGAAAAGTACATCTGGATCATTATCGTTGTCATCTACATGCACCCTTGTCCTGTTTGGATTTTGTGCCAATTTTTTCCATTTTGATTTCAAATGAATTTATGAGGTTAATTGATGGTTGGGTTTTGTTTCTTTCTTTGACAATGCGTTCTTTATGTACAAGGCTTAGAATAGAGTGAATAGTAAATCACATGTATCATGTTTAAATTCAAGTGCATTTCTTATTACGGATAATTAATTTGGGTGGCATTGATGAAGTCACCTATAGCAGTTGTGCTATTTTCTCACCAACAGGGAATATGAGGACTTTTTTTCCTTATGCAAATTGCAAATTCCAAGGCAAAATTTAACAACTTCTATTGGATTATATTTTTAAAATTGGCAAATATTGTCATTAACTCATGGATGGGGTCTAATGGTCATGTTTCCAATTGGTTTTGTTTGTCAATTGTCTTCTGTGGAACAGATAACTCATTTACCACCTGGAAGAGTGCCTGTTGAAACACACGTACTTGAAGGAAATTTAACTGGATTTGAACGCATGTATGAGGTACGTACGTTCATTTTTGGTTTCTTGAGTATTGAAAGTCATATATATCTCGATAGTTTGTATGCAAGCTATACAGGTTTTGGTGGCTTTTTTTGTAAAACTTAGGAAGGATTTGGTAGGATTAGGTTTGGGTGGGTTCCTGGTGCTGGCCCTTGTTTTTTCTATTTTTGTTTACTTAGAGAATAGTCATTGTCTTGATAGGTTGTATGGCAACAGAAAATTAGATTTCATGGCCCATATGCTGAACTGAAATAGACTTTCTTAGAGAAAAGCGTTTTTAAGTGGATCACTGGCATAAAATCCCCTCCAATGCATGGTAAAATTTTTTGACATCATTTAAGAAACAATGGATCTTGATATGTTGGTAATTAGAAATAAAACTCTTAGTTCATTTTTTATGGAAGCTGATAGAAAAGGTGTCTTAAACTATGAGGCTCTCCTGTAGTGACACGGAAAAACAGTTAGATTATTAACTCTCTCTCTCTCTCTTGCTCTCTCACTTGCTCTTTTAAGAACTCAGTTCTGAGATGTTTTTCTTCTTAAAGGTCTTTATTACTTGAATGTGTTTGAACCCCTTTTTCTTTCTGTTTTTCTTAAAAAAGGACATGTAATGCTTGCAGATGATAAAGAATGAGTTGCAGGAGGGAGGGAAAATATATCTCGTGTATCCAATCATAGAAGAATCCGAGCAACTGCCTCAGCTTCGTGCTGCCACAGCTGAGTTAGAGCTAATATCGGGTAAATTTGAGGGCTACCAATGTGGGCTTCTACATGGGCGCTTGAAGAGCACGGAGAAAGAGGAAGCACTGAGGAGGTTTAAATCAGGAGAAACACGGATATTGTTGGCAACTCAAGTGATTGAGATAGGTGTTGATGTTCCTGATGCTTCAATGATGGTTGTTATGAATGCTGAGAGGTTTGGAATAGCTCAGTTACACCAGTTGAGAGGAAGAGTTGGAAGAGGACAGAGAAAGTCAAAATGCATTTTCATGTCATGTTTGGTAGGAACTATGGGTCGGCTGAACATTTTGAAGGAGTCATGTGATGGGTATTACCTGGCCAATATGGACCTTGTTCTTCGTGGACCTGGCAACTTGCTTGGAAAGAAACAATCGGGGCATCTTCCGGAGTTCCCAATTTCCATGTTGGAGGTCGATGGAAATATCATAGAGAAGGCTCGTCTTGTCGCCTTGGTAATCTATTGCTCTCTCTTTGTTTCCATGTCAATGGGTTTTGAGGGTTTTTTTTGTGTGTTGGTGTGCGCGTGTGTAGGTATGCTTTCGCCTTGTATGCCACACCAATGGGTATTTTATTTATTTATTTATTTATTTTGGGGTAGTTTAGTGGGGAATGGGTCCCCTACCCATGGTAAGAATGGAACTAAAAACCTCACATTGTGGGGGCCAGCTATCCTGGCCATCTAAAATATCATGCTATAGCTCTAATACTCTTAGATACTATGCCAAGAGGTCCAACCCCAACTAAGGGTAGTTTAGTTTTTAGGACAACTTTCATGGTTCGAAAGCTAGATGCCACTCATGCAAACCGAGTCTCTCTTGGACTCTCATGCGAACCGAGTTTCGCACTCGTAACATTTATTCTCTTGGATTCCACCTCGATGAGCTCTCTCTCTCTCCCTCTCTTTCTCTCTCTAATATTTTGTTTCCGTAGAAGGTTAGATTCCGCTTTAATGAGCTATTCTCATTTTAAGGGGTTTTGTCTTATCCCTTGCCTTGAAACCTTACTTTTTTATAGGGAAGGATTCCTCCTCGAGGAACCTCTCTCTCTCTCTCTCTCTCTCTCTCTCTCTCTCTCTCGTCTCTCGTACCCGTAGTACGTACGTACGTACGTTACGTACGTACTACGTACGTACGTTACGT